CCCCAAAACCCCAAAACCCCAAAACCCCTTTGGATATAAAAATAGTTGATTATTTTATTATTTCAAGCTTATTTATTCTTCATTTTCTGAAGCATTCCGAATGCTCTCTTTCCGTTGTATTCATGAACCTTCCTTTGAACTTTTTCAGAAGGCTTTGTTTCTCCATTTTCACTAGTAATGGTAAGATCACCTCCTTGGGTAGGAGTGCTGAGCAAGGAATCCTCTCTAAGCCCTATTTCTCTTTCACGGTCTTCGCCTATCCTAAGGTTGATGCTACTTTTAAGAACCTCTTTCTTAGTTGTTTTTGCTGGGATATTCTCTTTTACAAATTTTCTTTGGCTATTTGATTAGTATATTAACACATACTAGCTATAAGAAATTCCTTGAGCTGTCTTGTCTTTCTTTACGCTTGGCTTTTTAGTGTTCATGTACTTATACTTTGTGTTCAACAGATTTGCTCCTAAATATTAGTAATATAAGCTTACTGATGCTTGATAGTCTGGTGGTAGCATTACTATCACTTATTTCAGGCTCTCAGTTCTTCAGAGAAGTTATTAGCTTCTTTTGTGTTTTACAGGTCTTTGCAGTCTTGTTCCTAGTGTCATTACTGTTCATGCTTCTGAACTCTGAGTTATTTCTGGTTCTCTTGTGATGCTTACTAGGGGAGTTCTTCATATGAGCAAATTGGTTGATCATTTTTGATTCAATCATACTTGGATAGAGGTTGAGCTTAGCCACCTTACTCCTGGTCCCGTTCAGTCTAGACTTCCCTGTGGTTTCAAGAATTCTTTCTGAAAGGACTCGAGTGAATTCATTATTTTTATTCCTTGACTTGCAAGATCTTTTGCTTGTATCTATCTTTTTAGAATTTTTTGTGTCACGAGGAAGAGATCCTCTCCTGCCTAAACTTTTCTTCCCAGTCTTCTTGCTCTTATCACTCATTCTTGTGGTCTCATAATTCAACTGGCATGAATTAGGAATAACGGATTTTAGGTTGTTGGTCTGATAATAACTGCTGTTATCAGTTTTTAACCTCTTGAGGATCCCTTCATCAGTTAAGTCGTGACTATCAATATTTACTACTTCTGTGTCAGACTCAAGGACTAAGTTGTTAAAGAAGGGGGCATCAAGGTATTCTAAAAATATTCACACTGAGAAGTACCATTTGCATGCTCTGTTTTTTTGTCTATGGGGGAGACGCATTTTGGGAAATTTCTGTCTAAAGTTTAAGCATATCAATCCTACCGTGATTGGGTATCTTCTCTGTCTTTATAATGCTATCTTTCATATCAATTGAAGCCGTTGAGTACTCCTTAAAGAGGATCTTTTCTGCATCTTTTTGGATATCTTCCAAAACTGGGTCATTGTTCCCTGCCAATGCTAGAATGCATTCGTGTTGATAGAAGAAGTTTGGAGACATAGAGTTTGAACAGAGCGAGCAAGTAACTTTCTTTGTACATTCTCTGAACAGTTTGAGAATTTTTAACTCTTTATTAGCAATTCTAGTTGCTAAGTTTAGTCTCTCTTTTTCTTTGTTATGATCAGTTTCTAAAGTATCCATTTCTTCCACTAGAAATTATTGATAAAAATTACTTTTTAGGCGGAGCATTGCATTCTCTTTGACTACGTTGTAGATCGTATTCTGTAGGATCCTTATCTTTATCTCTTGGTACTCCACTGAGTTAACATCTGTTTTATTTGTGCTGGAACAGTTATACTCCGTCTGACTACGATCTCTTTTGGAAGAAGAATTCTGAGCTTCAGAAAATCCCAAAAGTTTAGAGGCTAAGCCACATTTACTAGCACTTGACTCCGCAAATTGCTTCTCTTTAGAGGTACTTCTGAGTCTGACCTTGGCAGTTTTGAGATCTTTCTTCAACTTCTTATTCTCTTCCTGATATTTGTCTACCTCATTTGCTCGTTTCCTAAATTTTTATTAGAACTATTACTCTGATTTTTCTAAGCGATAACTTGCTGCTTTTTGAGAGATTTCATACTGATACTTGGATTCTCTGAGCTTCTTTTTTAAATTCAGGATAGTTTCCTCGCTTTTCTTGAATGCCTTTTGGGCTTCATTAAGATCACTAGTTAGGACAATCAACCGGGTGTTAGCTTCAGTTCTGGTTTCAAGCAGCTCTTTCTGGAGATAATCAACTTTTTGTCCATATAAATGATTGACTTCTTTTAACGAATTTTGCATGGCATCTTTTGTATTGTCCTTCTCTCTCTCGTTTTGGGCCAATTCGTTCATCAGCTTATGGATTTTGTCCTTCAGGGTTTCTATATAGATATTTAAATATACAATGGGATTTCAGTAAAGGTTTACCCTTTTCTGTGTCATACATATCTCTGATGTCTTGGCAGTACTTTTGGAACTGTTTATTTCATTTCTTCCTTCTCTTGCTCAAGCTATGGGTTAAGACCTTTCAATACCTTATCCTTAAGGTTAGCTATTTCTTTGTTATGGCTGAGTTCCATCTTCTCTTTTTGATCGTGGAGATTCCTAAAATAAAATTGTTAAGACTAGGCAGTGGAGTGGATGGGAGAGTATGAAGATTAAGCTTACGTGTTGTCGCTCATGAGATAGCTCACTTGCCTCTCTAATTCGAATAATTTCTTTCTCTCGTCAATCATGTAGCTATCACAGTTGCTGCTGCATGGTCTTTGGGGAGACTTATCAAACATTACTGTTTGTTGAGGAGAGGAAGATTTTAGATGAGTATTAAAGGCAAAAGTATTTTGGCTACAGCTTCAACAACCTTCCTTATCTGAACTTTTCAAGGATTTCAAGCTACTGTAGAATGCTGGGATACTATCCTTGACTTCATGTTTTTCCTAAAGAGTTCAAGTTATAACGTTAAAATTTAAGTTTGAGAAAATTATTCAAACAAAATATACCTGATTCATTTTTGTAGAGTCACTGTTATGAGTCTTATCATTATAAGGTTCAGAATGCTGCTCTGCTTCACATTCATTTGGATATAGCATAAAATTGAGTTCTTCAAATTGACCTGTATCGGACATCTTCAGTTTGCAATAATTTAATATTAATTAGGGGTTTTGGGGTTTTGGGGTTTTGGGGTTTTGGGGTTTTGGGG